GCTTTTATGTTAGTTCCATGAAAACTCCCGCCATAATTCCCGAAGGGACTGGTAAATTACACGCTTCATATTGTGCAACCAGTTGCTGCTCATGTTGCATTATTTACAAACGTATAGAGAATCTTAGTGTTTTTAAAGAGCTGAGTGAAATGTACTCGGAGTCGCTCGTTCGCTTTGCCTAACGTGTCCAAATAAATAATGAATGTATGAAGCTTCTAGCAACTTGACTGACGCAAGAACGAGGGTTTCATCTGGATATCAGTCCCACCGTTCCTATTCCGAGAATCTGTGAACCCGGTTCGTAATATAGAGACGATCATTGCCAGTTGGAACACAAGAATATTTTCCCAACTCACTTACGCACTGATCCAAATTGGCTACAATAATTGGGACAATAGCTGAGTGGATGGACACTTGGTTTAACATCAATCACATCGAAATCAATATTGAGCTTGACTAGTTGAAGTGCGATTCGGTCAACCTGATACTTCGTAATGGTTAACTGCGTCCCCCCGAAACTAGCTCCGACCTTGAGGAAACAATTCAAGACATCTGGTGTCTGGGGCCTGCGGTTACCGCCGAATTAAACGCGTTGCCTATCTTGGACTGACCTACATTATTGTCCATGAAGGACGTTGGTGATGCATTAGTGCATTACTTGGTTAGATGCGTCGACGCTATTTCGGCTCAAAAAATAATTATTAAAGTGTGGTACTGAGAACTTTGGTATAATTCAGCTAATTCATCATCGTCACTCCCAATCAGCAGGATCAGGCTAGTCTGGAAAAGCACCAGATGCCGGCGTTTCAACCTTCTGGGCCTCTTCAGTGGGGCACGTCCAAGCAGACCCATGCCGGGTTCCGCCCCCAAGAATTCAGAATGCCAGCAGCTAGTGCCACTTCGCCATGGGCGACAGCCGCGGACCTGCGTGATGGATAGTTGACTATGATATAGCCCGGCTCATCTTCCACTGCCATTTTAGTTACGAACTGTGCAGAGGACAGTGGCTAGTAGCAGTCAAGCAGGTCCGCGGCTGTCACCCATAGCGAAGTGGCACTAGCTGCTGGCATCCTGAAATCATGTGGGCGGAATCCAGCGGGGGACCGCTTGGAGGCGCACCAGTGAGGTGACCCAGAAGGTCGAAACGCCGGCGTCTGGTGCTTTTCCAGTCTAGCCTAAGCCTGTTGATTGGGAGTGATGGCGATGAATTAGCTCAAAAATAATTACCTCCTGAAAAGGGAAGTAAAATTGCTTTTAATTTAAATAAAGAGTTAAAAGCTGTGCTGTGAAACTGATCGAGGTTTCAGCTTGTCTCAAGTGCCCCAAGTTACTGGCACGCGTATTGCTTCGGTGGTTCAATCATCCTTGCAAGAGCAAATCAGTCAAGGTCACGCTCAAGTCCACTACTTTTCTAATCTTCAGCAGGCGCTCGAGCTTCAACATACTCACAAACAGCCCATCATCCTGTTCTTCCCTGATTTGCAGTGCCACTTTCATTATGTTCAACGCAATCGTTTGTTGAAATACTAAGCCCTGAGTTGCGTGTGATGTATAATCCCAGCCTTAACACTGCGCGCGTTTATTGCCTACATGTCTGTAGAATATTGGCCATCAATACGCTTGTATGTTTCATCCATTCGTTGGAATACACGGTCCTTAACAGTTGGTGGACTTCGTTGTGATTCGGCTTGAGGCCTAGGGTGCTTACAGAGATACAACAGCGTGTCTGAGACAATCTCTATTCCAAAGCCTATATAACACTCTTTGTGTGGTTAACGAGAAGAGCTTCCTGGAGTTTCTTAAGAGAAATAGTGCATGTCAGGATTGCCTTGATCGTTGCGGCGAAATCAACTCGATTCTCTCCGTCAGGTAGCCCTGAGAACTTTTGGTAACAGATAGGGTTTTGTCATTAGCGTATGCACAACGCTGCTTATGCACAATAAGATAGGCAAAAGTGCAACATTGCATTTTAACAGATAGCTTCCGTAACGAGCCTTGTTGGAGAATCCCAGGACACCATTCTCTTCACTGGCTCAGTCACGCGCTCCGCTGACATAGAAGCAAGTCGTCTTGTTTTTACTCCACGTCGATATTTTTATCGATCGCATAAAACTCATAAATCGTGCATAAATCATGCTCAAGGTCACCGAATTGCCAAGTCGGATTGGCGCTTGTCGTCTTCCTTTATGTGACTGCTATTTGTTAACTACCCTACCAGATTCGGCACAGTCAAGAAACCAGTAGCTCTCTTGCGTTGGCTAACTATTTTCTGGCCCTGTACTGCTCCAATGTCTGAATGCAGTTCTTCCTCAGTGAAGTATGATTGTTTAATATTATTGTTATCTTTATATTGGCAACATGACGAAATAGAGCTTGTCGCACCGCAATGCGGTGCTCAGGCCTTAGTTGACAAACTGACTTGGATTTCTTTGTTTTCTTAAGCTTCTGCAGTACGACGCCCGTGAGATACTCTTATATTAGTGATCTTTTGTTTTAACTTTTCTTTCCAGCTACCACGACGTTAGACTGATTTTAAAACAGACAACGCTTCGACTTGGAGGCATTGTCCTATACTCGTAACTTGTGTGCCAAATGAACAATAAGGTTAATGAATACTGGAAGGAATCTGCAAGGAGCGATATCTCTGTGTAGCTGCATGTAAAATAACACAGGTACAATGACCTGTTATGTTAGAGAGCATTCCAGATTTTTCATGTTAGCAAAGTGCCTGTCCATGGAATATTTGGAATTCTGACACCGACTTTGCCTCTACTACGTGCGGTGGCATGTTGTTCCCTAAAGTAACTACTCTCCGTTTGAAGCGGAGTTGGTGTGCGATCCGCATCAAACCTCGTACTACAAGTTTGTACCTGGGCCCTCGTATGCTGCTTGGTGTGTGCATATGAAAAACAGCCTTATTTGACTTATCAGGTGGAGATAGCAGCTCTCGAACCCGGAACCATTTGCATATTAGTTGCAACCGGGTCACAATACATTTGGCAGGTGTTTACGCACTCAAAATGTCCCCGCGGTAGTCCGTTAAAGTGCACTCGGAATCCACGCTTGCGCGAAAATCAAGCGGCAGTTTTGGACACAGCCTCTTCAACAATACCAGATAGCATCTAGCGATAATCAAGTCATTTCGTCTTATGTCGGTGAATTCAGAATGTTCTGTTCTGGTGCCTGAGCACTCCGTGACAACGACTACTTAGCAGCAGTTCCCATAGAAGCCTTGTGAAAAATTACATATATTTTTATCCCGCATGTACACCTGCTGGTACAGCTGGACTGTAGCTACCATCATGGATTCAGTCATGTTTGAGCACTTTCGTCTCCTCGCTGCCTTGTGACCTTGTATAACACATAGCGCTACTCATTGTTGCTTTATACCCTCATGCCTGCTTGATCTACCATACTACTCTTCCGATAGCGGTACTCGATTATGTATCCACGTTGGAACTTTCAGTTATTTGCTCTACATTTTAGCTGAATAAAGCAACATATTCATCCACATCAACTGACTAGAGTTTATGACTGATGATGCGGTTCATTTAAACACAAGACTGTTCATGCTACCACGTCACAGGCGGGTGTAAATAATGCCTAATGAATTCCGCAGGGTTGAGTTACTTTAGAGTGCCGAACTATGATGGTAAATTTCGAGGAGATGGACAACTTGTCACTTACTCATATGGTAACTGTGATAGTGCAACGGCTGTTATGCAGTTCCGGTTAATCAAATGGATTTTGGCATATGTATCATATGTTTGGATCTTGGATGAGAAATCAAGAATGATAAGGTAGCTGGCCTCTTTGTTGCAAACAACACAAATGTTCCCATATGAGTCAATTGACTGATGGCTTGTGTCGTGTAAAGCGCTTCAAGGATCGAAAGCCTAACCAGGGTAGTCATCAATGACATTTCAGCAACAAAACGACATATTATTTTTTTGAAACAACTTGATCCGTTGACAAAATTGAAATCAGCTTTTTAACGATATTTCCTCTTATGGAATGAATAACCTATTAATTGATCAAACTGACTGATAGTGTGACGTTACAAATTGGTAAGCGTTCAAGCGATCAAGGTTACTTCTTAACTAACTCGAGCGACAGATCGAGAACAACCCCTTGCCTGATAGTCCTGATTACGACAGCCGACATGAAAAACCATCTTCACCATCACGTTGGTTATAAATCGAAAATGAGTGCCAACTGATTTATATTAGTACAAAATTAGAACCTTGCACATGGTACCCGGATGTAATGCGGCCTATTGCTGTCTGTTATCTGACTTTTTGCAACTTTGTTTATCAGTTGCTGCGTTCTATGTACTAGAGCTGGCAAGTTCCTCTACTTGGTAATATAACGAACTAAATTTAGACCCTCATATCCATTCATCAAATATAAACGCATTTATTATCCCGCCCGTGTCTGGAATTTGGATTCTAGCTTCGTGCGTCACAAGTATTAGATCGGCGTTACTCCGAAATCCTTCTCCCAACATCTTCTATCTTTAAACCAAGATATTTGTATCACAACAACAACAAATCAGATTTCTAGTATTCACGCATCAGCCAAAGCTTCCATATGCTAGAACACCAAATAATTAATGGCTTCTAGTTGGTAATTCTGGATAGAACAAAGTAAGAATAGTGAGAGGCAGAAGATCGTAAAGCGCGCCACATTTGACCTAGCGTCACTAAGGAACTTAACCTGTAAGGTTTAACTTTCTCTCTACACGGGGCAATGTACAAAAGTTGTCCACGACTAAGCATTCCGCGAATTGGTAGATTAGTTACCCTCCATCCTTTTGATTATGATTCAATTCAGGTGGTCACATTCTATTCAACCATTAACTTTTCTTATCTTTCTAGGTAAAGCGGCGTTAAACCTGAGCAACGCATCGTGATGGTCTGCAATTTAAGTTGTAAATAACTCGCAGTTATTCTGTCCATATCTACGATTGCATCGCAATTTCCTACTAGGATTCAAAACGCGTAATTGTAAAAAGTATAAATTTGTCTCTTTAATTAAATAATAAGCATAAAAAAGTAAGTCAATAGACATCTCGTACAGTGGTTGCGGTGGACAGTGCTGGTTTGATGTGCTCGCGCTTTTCAAGCTTGCGTTTTAGTATAAATTTATTCTACACGTTTGAACACCAGAACAATGAGTTGCTGTCCTTATAACTGATCTATATCTCGCCTCCATTAGTATCTCCGACCGACCGGTAGTGTTTTGCCAGATGTGGTCAACCAAATAATTGCGAAAAGCACTGATGGCAGTAGGGTTTGTTTGAGTGTTCCTTGAATGTTCCTGTCTGCAACGGCTGTAAACAATACGCACAGGTAAAGTGTTCAGGATGATAGCGGCGTCCAAGTGCATTCACACACCTCCCGGTAATCGGTTTCCCACAGACAACACAAAGTAGCCCACGTCGAGAATAGTAGTGGGAAGCGCAGTAGGGATAGCCATCCACCTCGTGGTAACTGGATCCATAAAGTTGCTTTCCACAGTCCTATATTCAAAGGTGAGTAAAGAAGTTTCAGAGCCTTAGGTTGCAACAACAAGAATTAACATAAATCTTAGGTCAGCCTAATTATTTACTCAGCTCCATGCAGCCAGCAAGCTGTCAAACGCAGCAAATCGTGCGATAAATGGTTCCTTTGGGATTTTCTTCTGCTTTTGTTTCCACCTGAAAAGTTATCGTATGTTTCGCGGTGGTTGCGGTGCTGACTCAAACAGACTAACGTAACAACGGAGATAAGACCGGTGACACCTGTGGACTGGTGCCTTGTATCTTGAAGAATAATATGGCAAGAACACTTTTGAGTAGTCCACCGAATCCACAGTTTATCGCCAAATTTAGCAATCTTTCACGCGCCATACTTTCGTTTTCCCACGGGATACAATTACTGTATAATAAAAGTTCATATTTTTATGAGAGATATCAGATTATAAGAAAGCACAGCTGAGCAACTTTAAATCAAAAGAATAGCACAAATAGATCTTTTTCATGGCAATTATTTCCAACTCCATTTTCTAAAATGAAAAGGACATCTATTTCCAGGTGTACAGCATAGCCTGCCATTAAGAAATATATCCTCTTCGTGCAAGTTAAGGTTTTACTTTGGAATACGTTATTGTTTAGCTTACATTTGTAAGAAGAAATTAAACAAGTATAGCAAAACTCACTACCGTACATCGCATAAGCATGTAGTATTTTTAACACAAACATCACATCGAAAACTTTTATAATATATAGGCACGGTAGTAAATTAATCAAAAATGGCATATCGGAGGTGAAGTACTTTTTCCATCAGGAGGATTTTAGTGCCAAGCCCTATGAAACTAAATTTTGTGAGGCTAACGGCATATGTAGTGATTAAAGATATAAAAATGGGTCAGCATTTGATGCAAACCAAATCCAGATTTAGGTTTTTTCTAAAGATACATTCGTAATCTCAAAAATGCCGGTTCTAAGGAATAGAACTTATAACTGATGTCTGCGTTTCCAGACAACGAAATTCGTTGTAGCTCAAATGATTAGTAAGATGATATATCACCCAATGCGCAGTGTCCAAAAGTTATTCACCTTGGAGTACAACTTAAGTTGGTAACCTTAAAATGACCGTCAGTCGTCCTGATGAAAGCTGCTCAGGTAACGATGGCCTCAATAAACAGAATAAAATGGTCTTTAGTTACAGTGCAGATGGATTACGAGGTCCATTTGGAGTGCGTGAACTGGGTCGCACGTGCCACAATATGGTAGCAATAAGAAGTACCACCAGCACTCAATTTAATAGTGTCAAAATTTTGGCCTAACAACAAACCGGTCACTTTAGGTTACAGTTGCTCAGAATTTTTCCTTCGAACTCCACCTCTCGCATCCATGTAGGCTACTGGAGTTACCTGACTCATTATCATTATACACGTTAGCTAGAGGTGGGAAGCACCTCAGCTACTGTGCCGAAATACATAAAAGAATAGAAAAGAAAAATATGCAACAGATGCAAGCCAGCTGAGCTACTAGTAACGGATGGGCATCGTTCCGGTAAACTACCGGCCGGCTACTATGCAGCAAAATAATTTTATGCAAAATTATACTAAGCTAATTAGCGAGATCGTGGTTGTAGGTGGAGGCTAAGTGAGATGGGGAGGGACAAAGAAACTCACAACACGAACGCCATTGAGGTCAGCTCCTAACCATGTCAGCATGCGTATTCAGCCAAACGTGTGCATAGTTAACTACTAATTCAGCGCTATTTATATTTGTTCCTAAACACTAACCACGGGTATTTCCTTCGGGTCGATCCTAGCAGTTCATGCGTCGCAGGAAGAACTAGGCAATGCAAGCTCGAATGCATACCGGCGATCGTTGCACTGGTAGCAATTTCTTCATATTATTGATGTGAGGGTACAACGTGAACAAATTTCGACCATTAGCATCAGCTAAATTAAGGCTTAGAAACTTTCAGATTGTTATTATTTTAATTCGTAATTGTAATCATGTTGTTTGATATTTTGATACCACTGTACGTCAGCCATTTGTCTTACTTGGCAGGCGAAACATGCTCGGTGCCACGGAACATCCAAGGCAGTAATGTAGGAGTCCATTATCGGTCCATTACAACCGGTGCATCGCATACCAAATCTGCGCAAGTAACAAGTTCTGCGTATCGGAAACGGAAACAGAGATCATTTATGGGGACCAGAAGAAAAGTACAAGGATGGAAACCGACCAACTAGTGAGCTTAGTTGTCCGACTAAGAATTTGACTGCTGTTGGTAATAATTGACCAAATATATAACAACGTGAAGTATAGCTCAGCATTTACGCAACACAAACTGTGCCTGCCTCTCATGACACACGTATCTGGGCTTGAATACGAGTGCAACTTTCATCCTAAAATGACAAAATCCATTGATTTTTCTGCACGCAAATTTTCTACAATTTTATACCAAAAAAATACTGTAGTTGTTCATGCGGTGTGGATTCCAAGAGCATAAGGTGCATCATTAAATGAAATTTTGGTCAGCAGACGGTTTGCAAAATTGGATGGTTTGAAATCGTAGTAACGATCGTGCGAGAAAATTAATCATTTCTCACGAGTCAACAAAGTATTGGATATTTTCACCGGAAAATCCATGCGATAAAAAGCACCTGACTGCATCGATTTTTATAGACCTGGGTACGCACTTGGCTTGAGGTTCTAGTTAGTCGGTACTTAGTCATTATGAGACAAACAAGCAAGAATTGCGGTGTGGCATTGCAACCAACCATTACTTTGGACAATCAGAGACATCATCGGCTTTGGGTTAAGCAAAAGGACTAGATTAGAAACAGTTGTACTTAGTAAGATTCCCTATTTCCCCCTCCTCTGTTACCTCAATATGAGCGGAGCCCTAGATGGCTAGGAGAAAAGCTGTGTCTGATATTCATAAACGGTTGCTTGCCATTTATCGTTTCATGTAATAGTTTCTCTGTTGATTCAAACGAAACACTTTAGTTTTGCCGATTACTCCGCAGTTAATTCATTTATTAGATGGTCTACACATCGCGATGCTAATGGATATTGCACAAAATAATTACTTTTAATGAACTCCCCGAGCCTATCTACAGATCACATTTGTACTCAATATCTCCTGAAACCATGAGCTCCTATTCATTCCAAGCCTATTCCGAGATATTGAAGTCCTTGAGGCGGCTGATGTCATAACGTCAACACTTGTCGTCTACCTCGCACGGGAATATATGGTGTTGACACCAATCTTAAGCAGGATGCGGCTATCTCAATTGCTCACTTTTTGAATCTACGCTGATTCTGTGTACGCATCATAGAACATTTTTGAACTTATTTTTGATGCGAGTCGGATAAATGCATTCAATACTTCTGCGTTCGTCTTACAGCACTTGTCTGGGTTCACTCTCATAAGAAATACGAAATACTATCGGCGCTGGCAAATTGGTCTTCGTAGTGGCAACGTGTAGTTTTACATAAACAAGCAACCCCACATTCTTATACTCATACAGTCAAAATCGCAAAATTCCTGTTGGTTGGAAGGTGTGAGTTTATCCGATCGGAAATTCGTTCAGCGTTGTTTTCCTTCACCATAATCGGAGGTTTAAAACTGGAGTTACGTGTTGGAACAGTGTGGGCACTAACTAGAATACACTATGGTATATGTGTTGGAACATATCAAAAAGAGGGAAGGCAGAATATGATTAATTACGTGATATGTTAAATGGAATACAGTAGTCACAGGCTAACAACTAGAAGGAATGTGAGAGGCTAGCAGAACTGTGAGTTTGGAAAACACGTTTAGGTTAGAAAAAGGTTGCTGGTCTTCTTTTGTATAAAACGAAAGTGCTTTATCCTCGTGTTGTTAACGTATCTATCCATGAAGGAGAGACAAACAACTGGAATAACAAGTAGTGATTCCTTATTTGCACTTCAAGTAAGCTGTGTTCACCTTAGTCAAAGATAACCATTTAGTGTTTAAAGTGTTTTTAATCAGAATTTAATAGGAAGTTAATCTACTTTTCTAAGATGAATGAAGGGTGACTACGAGGCGGTGCATGCGGAACTATGAAGACTTTTGCCCAAAGTACGGCTTTTAATACTTTCAGTATATGTTAGTGGCGATTTAGGTGTTCTACTGGCGTACGCGATCACGTGGATCAGCTACCCTACAAATAATTTGGGGAACACAATTGCTATAACATAAATCCTATCCAATTTATTACTAGAGTGGAAGGATTTCTTCAATATAAAGTTATCAAGTACGGAGACTAGCATATTCAGACAAAGGATTCACTAAAATAAAAAACAGCTTTATCTATCCATAAAATTCTAGCTCTAGGTTAAATATATTTGTTTTCCAAGCAAATCTACCGGGAATCAAGAAAAAATGCCGGAAAATGAACCGTGTAATTCAGTTGTTTGACTGTTGAATAGGCCAACAAAGGGTGCGCAGTAGTTAAAAGTGCTCTTTTAAGGTGTCTCAGCAGAGAAACATTACTACTGTACGTTTATTCAATTTCAGGATCAGTGAGCTCCGTAGTAAGAATCGCGGAATGCACTCGATGACCAAATGGCAGTCAATATTTACGACAACAACCTCCACTGATGGTGGAAACGAAGTGCAAATGTTCGACTTTTCACTCCCTGTTAATGTGGGACAGTTTCTTTGAGAACAGTAAGAGTTTGAGCACCAGCTACGAAACATAAACCCATGATGCTTTGTATGCTCTCTTAAAGCCACTTCTATTTGTTGTAAATAAATAAATAAGTATTCATTCTCTGCGATGGAAAACGTGCTCACCAAGGAATAATCAGTGAGACACAGTCTAATACAAAATATTAAACACAAGGTAAATAGGAAAGCCTATCGGTGAGAGAAAATGTTTAGCACAATGGTTGAATGGCACAAATATCTACTCCGTTTGGTGTGAATACCTGCGGTGTTATGAACATAAATGAGTAAAGTATGGATCTACTGCATTTCTACTCACTCTGTGGTACGTTGCTTTTGAGATAGAAATCTAGAAATGCGTGTTGCTGGTTTGGAAGTGAACAGAAATTTCTGCTTTTGCTCATAAGCTAAATGCCTGCACCTGTACAACATCTGCTTAATTAGGACTTATTTTCATGCGTTAGCAAATGACAGACGCGTAGCCTGATTGCACAGGCACTGCTAAGCGACAGAAGGGATACCAAGCCGTTAGTTTAGAATGGACATCTTACGGGCAATATACTTGGTCACCGTGTTCATGAACAGTTGATTTTCCTCCGAAAGTTTGATGGCAATCGTTGCAAAAGAAGTGTTCAGTGTGCCAGGTTCGTCCCAAAGCCACAATGCATTTCTAAGATAAAAGAAAATGGAGCATGAATACAAATTGGGAGCTATTCTATAAAATGAAGCCAAATGTTGCATCGAGGGGAATCGTTCAGTCATAGAGTCAGTCTCAGTGTATACGAGGAAAACTGCCATAGCAAAAGGCATCACGCAGCCATACAGCGATATGAAGTTCAGGGTAAAGCATACATTAAGTTGTAGGCACAATGTGATACACTTGCTGTTTGTTTAAATTGGGTCGTTTCATCCAAAGCAGAGCAGCTTAATAATTGCAAACTTAAAAAGAAGACTTTATCACAACAACAGCAATATGGATTGCTCGTATTCAACTGTTGGCTTTGTATGCATCAGACCATTAAGAATGCAGTGGCCCAGTGCAAATATTTCATCGGTTTGCAGAATCCAAGGCGGTGGTCCAATAGAGTATACACTGGCGTGCAAAAGTTTCAAGCGCTGAAATATCTAATCATATCCACTACCTAATGTATTAAGTACGAAAGAGTGGTTCACATATCCAAGTAAAGGATCAGGTGTAGATTCAGATGCCGTGCCCCATCTTCATATCGAAGTAAAACATTAAGTAGATGAAAGATGGATTACCAAGGCTTTACGAGAGGAACTAGATTCTACCAAGCCACCTCCAAAACAAGCAATGAATACACCAAGCTTAATAAGACATGTCCACCCGGTGAAGAAATCAGGAGGCTATAGAAAAAGAGACTGAGATGCGCAGATGTAGCTTCGTTTCAGTTTGTGCTCGTAAAGTTCGTTCAAGCATCCCACAAACTTTCCGGAACTCCTAAGCTAGATGCTAAGACTATGAAAATACTTGCGTCTTTTATTATGGAGCAAGTACAGCAACGAAACCCATTAATCGGCAAAAGCGCGTAATACAAAATTTCACCCATAATGGACGTCAAGTATGGAATGAGCTGAATTCGAGTCAGCCATTTTTCCCAGCAAGCCGTTCGATCAGTGTAGCGATGCGCAAGTAAAACATGGAAGTTTGAAACTAATATTTTTGGTTAAGTATGTAGGTCATGAAAAGGTAAGCACAGAAAGTTTTAATCTCCTCAGTAAATCCGTAGCAAAATCAACCTGGCAAAGTTAATTCAATGGATTTGTTGCGATATTTTTATCCAAATAAGCGAACCCGAATTTTCTCATATCCTTGTGTTAGAAAACATATGGCATATATATGAACTACCCTACAGAAAGCCATCAGAAAGGATGAAAAGAGTGCCTGGGAAAAGCAACGTATCTGCTAAGGTTAATTTCAGTGATCACACTGCTTTACAGCATTACTCGTTTCGAATAAGTATCGCTCACGTCTTCCAAAGACCGTTGCTGAATGGAACGTAACCGTTTTCTTGGAGATGCGAATTCGGGTCACGTTTATGGCGCATTATTGAGCGTCCACCTGCACTGAGCGAGCACTTTATCGCACCAAATAACATGGCGAGCTATCTGCCCAGTGAGTTAGGAGCACACCAGCAGACAACAAAACCATATCTGATTCCTAATGGATGGCCTTCACACCAGCACTTACGTCTGTGATCGCATCGCCACATCTGGCGCATTTAGGCGAGAACAGCCTTGCGTGACAATCTGTGCAATACGGCTCTTCTTTGCGTTCATAGAAATCGGCACCAACGAGTCCGACCCCGCAGCTGAGGCATGTGAAATGATCTGGGTGCCAGTCCCGGTTCAGGGCGGAAACCAGCTGTGTTTAATGCAGGCAGTGAAAAAAAGGAAATTGCTCTGATATTGTTGGAAGATGTAGCCAAATGCACAGTAATTCACAAACTGCATGGCAGATGCAAGAACTACTAACGGATAGGCAAACACACTTAGAGGAAATGTACTGCATTCTTTTTCAAAAAGAACTCTGCGACTTAGGTTTATCTATAGGCTAACATATACTTAATGCGTCTGTTTTATCGTTGACAAGTATGTTTTTAAAACGCGATGCGGCATTTAACGCGGTTTTATGAAATTGTGTCCTAAATACCCAGGTTACTAAATGAATGTTTCTTCAACCTAAACTACCTTAGTCCTGTTGACTGTCCGTCAAGTAGCAATACAATGATTCAGCACACGCCAGCGCATCATAGTACCATGAACCACATAGCCCTGCTAAGTTCGCGTTTGCGCCAGATGCAGGCGAAACTATAGGTCAGCTGGAACATAACCGATCTGCTTGGTGTACGTAAACGATATAACAATCGTGCATTTCTCAGGATACCAAGAGAGTTTACATGTTTTGTGGAAAATCGTGAAGTAAATTGACGAGAAACCCTGACACAGTTGGCTTTGTAGATTGCACTAACAAACAACTCTTGGATAAGCAGCTGCAAAATTGCAACCTAGGTACACAACCACTACACTTATCGTGTCAAGACAGCTTCAAACACGTCGCGATGTGTAACAACCAAAATAAATGATTGACTGCAAATTCGCTTGTCATTAGATCATAATTAACTCACTAAAACTGCAGCAATCTTTGTGTTATACGGACTTTATTTCAAAACGTCCTGCTGTTAATCTAGTCAGAGATGCATCTTGTCTATAAGCGTAAACATTATGATGCTTAAACAATAATGCCGTCCGCAACTTTGCAATAAGTTGAGTCTGGTCCGTAGGTGCGCAGAAAACTTCATGAAGGTCGCTACCTAGGGAGTTTCTATTTTGGTAGCGGATTACCGTTCGCTGTATCACTTACACAGTTGTTTATCTTTGTAAATGTGTAAAACCATAGAATATTACTGACTTGCGCAACACCATACACAGCATTCCCCACGCACCGTATATCAAGTGTAGTCCTTCAGCAGTGTTATTGTCCGGCAAGAGGATGAGAGCCACGATTGATTCGCATGTGGTGCACAGCGCACCGTTAAGCCCACCATCGACGTAAGTGAGGAAAAATTGCGTACCAGTGCCACAATATATGTAACTTAGAACAGTAGCTCGATTTTGCTGGTTTTTGCATATCTTACGAAGGCGTATATGGCGCGAAGCACCTCACTCGTTAAAGCGAAGCATTCTCCTGTACCTACATATAACTTCAGTAGCATTTGCCTGAAAGTTTGATAAACATACCCAGGAATTCATCAGACAATTCACCTTCACTTGATCAGTACATACAAACTACCTTGCTAAAGGAGTTTCAAAATTTCATAACAGGAGATACAAGGAAGCATACGTTGGTCATTGACTAGAAGTTGAACAATCTTACATGCATTACCAAATGCAGACGGAACGGAAAACGCACAACATAGTACCGCGTCTAGTGTGAACCGCAGTGGTCCACATACATCGTTTGACATATGATGGAAAAAATTTAAACGGTATATGATTGCTCGAAAACTCCAAAAATTCAAAAGTGTATACAGTTATGCACTACAGCTGGGACGATTTCTTGGAAGCAGTATTTGCATAACAGCAGCACAACAACAACAACAACAGCAGTACAACAGTTAGTTGAACTGAGCATTGCTGCCGGATAGTCAAAACGACCTAAGGGTGGAAGAATAACAAGTTGGGAAAGAAGTGAGACCTGGCGTAAAACTTTACCACCCTAAGCAATCACGCAGGGTTAAAGCACGTACACCTTGGTTCCCTTAACATGTCACTATGTATCGAAGACGATTCTGTTGGTTATACGTCGGCTAAAGATGTTGGGCAAAGATTTCTTGACCGATATTTTCCATGACAAGCGAAATCCACTAGGAAATCAAATATTATATGTGATTATCTGGGGCTTCACTCAGACATTAATATGACTGACTATAACTCCAAGCCTTGAGTAGCAGAAGGAAGGTAATGTAGCTGTGTCATTTTTGGGGAACTGTACGCAGCGTTCAGTTCATCAAGGTATACTGCCCCTAGGACCTCACAAATTATGTGACCACGCAGTTGATTAAAAATTCGCCACAAATCACACTGGTTATGACTTTACATGAAAAATTTTATGTACAGGTGATTGAATGGGCTTATTTCATGAGTAATTGCAGCAGGAAGGTATATTGTTTGATAACCAGTTAACCTAATCAGCCTCGTACTTAAGCGCTTCTAACATGCTTCAATAGTAAAGGTGAGGATAATGCACCCACACGCAGGTAACTGTATTCAGTACGGATTAGAACAGAAATCGACGGAACTAGTAAATCAGTAGCAACACTGCGAAAGGTCTTTGTTTGCACATGGATAATGAAGGCATCATCTTCACTTAGACCCCCTGAGATTTTAGCTGTTAAGCCGTCTTAACACCTGGTGATGATGAAAGGCTTTTTAATCCACACAGCATAATTAACCTTAACGTATATAAAGGTTTTATGGGCTTAATTTCTCATCTACACACATTTATCGCGGAAAGCAAATGGTGCCTTGTGAAAAAAATCGACTGTTTGTCATACCAGATCGGGAAGGCGATTGTATTAAGCATGGCAAAAGAAGTAGTGAATGCCGTGTCACTTTTACTGATGCAGCGAAAACATTCAAACTTCGTCAGAATCGTCAACAGAAGATTTTCTTTATAAAGTTAAAACTCAAGTAGTAACAAGTTCGGAGATCTGTGGTTCCGACTGCGACAGGCATAGAACAACTCAAAGACTGCGGTTTACATTCAAGTATATGGGAATTGGCTTTGGTTGTTGAGCCTGCGTATAGTGGAGTTCCAATACGGTTAGTTAACCTACTTGGTCACACCACCACCACAATTTGGGACTTATCGGGACGGTCTTGTCTAACGGAACTATAGACATTGAGTACTGTGACTCTGCTGTAATTATCTGAATTTTAGCACTGTCTATTACACTACTGTACCAGAGTACCGACAATACATTGAGAAATTATAACTGTGGTGTCTGCTACTTTACCACGTAGCGATCTAATAGTATCGTCATTAGAAATCCTGCATGGTATTTTTGTTGATAGGACAATCTGTAAATCTGACTTACTAGCGATCACAGAGCTTCCTCACTTCAGTTGTTTATTGAATGAGATGGAACTGCACGGCGGTGCTCCCAGTTATGCTGGATTTGTTCACCTCGTGAGCTCTTACTTTCTACCAAAGCTTCTGGTTAGTTCTAAGCCACTCACTCGGGGGATCTGGAACCAACCTTATACACCTGGTTTGTGATATTAAACACTAATCATAACACAACCAGTCAGTTAGCAAATCTCACAATCTAACTGTATAGGGCCCGAGGAAAACCGTTTGTCTCACGCAAATTTAATCGCCCCTTCCCGTCACTTTAAAAGACAAAGAATGGGCGCTAACTTCCAATTCCAAAAGATGCTTAGTGTTTGTCTAATATATTTATACTTTTGACTAATAACTTATAAGTAAACTTTTCTTTCGGATGCAACAAATACGGTCATTATCGGAGATGTGCATCTAAAAGGGATATCAGTTCTAAACGATAAACAAATATCACAATCACATTTATCGACGCGCGACTAAGGGTACTTACTAATTTGGCGTTTAATTTGCTGGCCTAAAGCAGCATTGACTGAGGTCGTAAAGATTAACTTTCTCCATTTAAGTTATCTCGGTACTTACTTCTGATAATTTGCACCACAACCTTAAAATTCTTCTACTCAACCGAGTGCAAGAACAAGGTGAGTCCTAGTGATCATGTGCAATCAGTAAGGCTCACATTGTCCCGGTAACCACGGCAACAAATGAACTTGAGCTGCGACCTCATTTACTATTTTATCACTTTCCATGAAAACCTACGTACACTAGACGACTAGTGCACGGCACTTCTGGTGTTTTTGCTGCTTTACGTACGAAAAAAGTAGCGATAGACAGGACCAAGGCTAGCGTCGGGAAGCCCGGTTTGTTTACATTGCTGCACGTTCGATATGATGAATGAGTTTGCAAATATCCAAGTAGTATTGGAGGCTTGAAAAGTTTCATTCTAAAAAGATCTCCATGTTCCGGACGAAGAAGGTTAATTAGGTCTGCCATTTCTAAATGAGGATTGTCTAGAAGCATTTATGTTGAGTAAATGGGAAACTCATTCGCCAACTTTACTAAAGGTGGGTATTCCAAAGTTCCCTGCAGTAGTCTTGAGATGACTTCGAATTCAAACCCAATAATAAGCCATAGCACACGCGCACAGGCACAACGGCGCTATACGACTTAATTGCCCGCATAGATTATGCTAAGCATTTAAACACAACGTCGGATGTGTGAACAAGCGACTGTGTGTATGGCCTGAGAAAAACTGCGCCCATGAAAAGTCAGGCCCATTGTGCGTCTGTACGAAGTGTGTAACATTATGTGTACATTGCTAACCATGCAGGGCACAGCTATGTACCGATGACGATGCAAACGCGTATCTTGTTGCACTCCTTTTTAATATACTGCCGCATAGATGGAAAAGTTTTAACAAAAATTGCGCCACCTTGTTATGGGGCGAAATTTACCGGCGAATGTGTTTGATGTGTCGAGAGTGGTACCAAATGCAGCTCCTCATTTTTTGGGAGGTCACTGGTGTACGGTACAAGTAAGCCAGATGACCGCTGGGATAGCAGACTAACTGCTTCCTCTCACTAGGTGAACTGTGTTACTTCAGAACAAAACGCAAACATGATTGCATTTCGGTTGAGATCGAAAATTGCCAGAATCATAAAATGAGGATCAACGAATAGCGTGAGATCGGATGTTTAGCTTTAATCTCCTGATTCAACTTCATGAAAGCGGCTCATTTACTG